CAGTAGCTTGTTTGACAGCACCTTCATCGATGGAGCGGAAATGAGACAGGTAGTTCGTCAGTAGATCGTTGCACAAAGAATGTTCATTTCTGAAATCGAAAAATCAAGTTGAAAAGTCCGTCATCAGTCATGAGATCTAATATAGTCATACCAATGGTCTTCATGAATATGGCCATGGTATCTAGAATCGAACTCTAAACCAGGTGCTATATTTCCTGCTGGATCTGTCAATGGATAATCTTCTGGAATATGAAGAATTAAGTGTATCATAATTCCATGATAGGGTTCATCATTAATCAATACCTAAGCAATGAGTCACTTATTTTCATATGTTGACAAAATGCTTGCTGAAGTACGTACGTTACAATGTAACAGAAAAGGATTCGATTCATCAGGACAATAAACACCAAGTTCAGGTACTGGAACCTTGTCGAGATCTCTCAAATCTCGAAAAAGATTTAACATATGCAACCTCGAATAATAACACATTAAATGACAGTGCAGATCAAAACTCTAGTACTACATTTTTGTTTTGAGTCGTGTATTAAAACCTATGCCATCTTTTTTTAGCTACTGCGATGCAAATCAATGAAGCTGCATCGCATTACTCGCATAGTATTATTTACGGTATTTGATATCGACCATTCATAAGAGGTTCCTTCTTAATTTTTATTAGTTCCACTCTAGCACCGCAACTTAGCCACAAGTGATCGTAAAAAAGGTAGCCTTCGTGACAGTTTTGGTTCATATTTCATTCTGGTACAACCAATAGGGATATGAATTCTATGTGCACTTTTTTTCAGATCAAAACACCAACTTCGAGGCTTTTGAGGGTCGCGAATTTGAATCCGAAGTCATATTTCTATTATTATGGAAATTTTTATGAGTACTAATATTTTTTAAACCTTTTTCATTAGCTGTATTTTCTTAGTTTTTCCAATTTTTTTTAAATTTTTAAAATTTTTTCGAATATTCTTTAATTTTTTTATTTATTTTTTCTTGTTTTCTAAGTTATTTAATTGTTTAATTAACCTTTTTTTGGCTCTTTTAATTTTTTCTTCATCTTTTTCTATGATTACATCTGATTAAACTTTATGAAAAATTTCAAAAGTTTTTAGTAATTCATAATACAAAGATGAATAAAACGAAAAGATCAGCTATGTCGTTTTCTTTAGCGATTGCGACGGAATTAACCACAAAACACAAAAACTATTCATACAAATTTTCATTTTATTCAGGCTTCATAGAGCTTTCTTTCGTTGATCATTTTGATTAAAAAAAAAGGGTGTTGGATTTCATTAAGGAATGACGATATTACAGTTAAAATATTCAACACTGAAATATCGAGCGTCCCAAATGTCTGCCACATAGTTCCTTTCACAAATATCTCTGCACAGACAAATGATAAAATCTTGTTTATTTTTCAAAAGATTTACCATGAAAAGTTCTACAAAAACTGTAAGAACAAATCCCTATCGGTTTGTTCTAATCGTTTCTTCCATACTGGAAATTTAAAAAAAGGTACATTACATTGCTACTTCCCACCGTATTTAACATAATAAAAATGCTTAGAAAGAAATGATAACACCTTGATTTGTTTTCAAAAAATGCACTGTCGAAAGCTATACAGAATCTGTAAAAGCTGTGTAGAGAGATTCCTATTTTAAAACAAAACGTCTTCCAAACATTTTTATACCATTTTTTTCTTAGCACCGAAGTTTGTTTGGTGTTATTGTATTTTATATTCAAAGATATTTTGTATTTAACAGATACATATAGATAGTACTCGACCTCTCATTTATAAGCATATAACTAAATTAAATCGATATTGTGTAGCTTTAATGCATAAATCAAAACAGAAAAAAAGTACCAGACTTTTAACTTGCACTGTATCTGCATACCTCATAATTCGCTTTGTTTCAGCAACCTTCTCATTTTGTGACTTGAAAGAGACACTCATCGTGTTTGAAAGGAAAGCTACTGACAAAGTTGCAAAACATTGACATTATATAAATGAGAAAAAATGAGAAAAAACCCAATGACGACTCTTATTGTATATGAGTGTTGAAACCTAATGTCACAATCGCATGAATAACTAATAGAAGGGGAAAAGGAAATGAAATAATGATTCATTGAGTAATTTGTCGTATAGGTACTTTTTTTTATTATTGCGTAAAAGGAATACAGTCATCGTTGGATGCTTTTGCCTATTTTCTTCTCTCATTTGAGATTTTAACACAAAAGCAGATTAGAAAAGTCAAAAAAAGTCAATTATACTGTTTGCAGAGTCACATATCATATTATTACAACAAATAGAATATTCCCTCGACTGAATGGAGAGTCATATGAAACAAATAGTATGTTTTCAGCTCAAAAGGTCCGTTGTTATAACTTCGGTATAACAAAGTTCTACATTCGATGGACAGTCAAATAAGATGCTTCCCGATACCGGTACATTTCTGTAAACATGTGTTTTAGACCGAAAAGGGTGTGGGTTGTCTCTTAAATGACACACCCACACCCTCACTCACATTTAGAAAACTGACTAAACAAACATCAGATCATATACTAGGGAAGCGTATAATGTATGATTCGATCCATCTTTATCTCCTCTTTCGAACGACGAAAACTGCAGCTCTCTATCTTGTTTCTATCAACAGAGTTATTCAAAAAATATTCACTAGATAGACACTAGTACAACCAGCCACATATCATAGCGAAACAAATCTTATCGAAAATGTATTATTATGTTATTAGTTGAGCTTGGATCAAATAGCATAGAAAAATGGACCATTCTTTTCTTTATCAGTCTATATAGAAAGAAAGTTTCTTAAAGCTTTTTATAAGGAATTAGTGTACCACCGCCACTACTTTTGGTATGTCCTAAGTAAACACACAGTAGCAATCGAAAGTAACATATTATATCATACTGCTATTACATAATAGAGCTTTAATTGTCTCGATGAAGAAATTTATGAGGCCAACAAGATTTGGATACTCATGATATGGTTGTCTCTTTAGAATTTAGTTGAAAACTGGCACTTCAAATTATTTTCTAAAAAACAGACATTTCTAGACTGTCATACTCACGAATCGGAATTTGCGTATTACCTATAAAAGTACATTGACAAAAAGGATTTCTTTTTCTGAATCGGAGTATTGACTGGTATTGTCTAAAAAAGCAAATGATACTGTGGAAATCAATGGATCGATTTCAATTTGAAATAAAATTCCTATTAATTGAGAATTATCTCCAGCACTTTCAGCAAAACTATATGAAACATCTTGATCAATGCTTCTTGATAAAAAATTATTAAAAGAAAGAAGACCACCTTCGCTTTTCTTAATCTTTTTAAAGTCATCATTATATCACAACAATGCAAAGAGAAAAATTTTAATCATTAATTTTGTCGAAGATCATCAAGAGTTTTTGATAAGCCATTGTTCTGGAAAGGCGAAGACCAAAAGTACAGCTAGCAATGTTCATAGCTCGTTCAGCGTGCTTAGCCGCTTCTTTATATTGACAGAGACCTTTGAATGTCATCGCCATGTTAGCATTCAAGACAGCTAGTGATGTATGATTGGGTAGAAGAAATTTCTGCCAGATTGAAAGAGTTTTCTCATAATAAGACAATGTAGTCGAATAATCTCCTTTCGAACGATGCATCTCACCAATGTTATTATAGGCGGTAGCAATCAATGATTGATTGTATGGATGAGATGTCTCTTTCATTTCAAGTGTCTTCTGATAGTATGAGAGAGCCGTCGAATAATCGTTTGTCGATTGATATATGAGAGTGATATTGTTGTAAGTATTTGCTAGATTTGCATGATTAGTTGGAAGTGATTTCTGTTGCATATCAAGTGCCTTTCTATAATATGAGAGTGCAGACGGATAATTGTTCATTGAGTCATACACTGAACCAATCTTATTGTAGTTATACGCCATGCTTGGATGATCGAATAGCAGAAATTTTTGTTCAATTTTAAGTGCTTTTTCATAGTATGATAATGCAATTGAGTAATGTCCCAACACATGATATATTGCAGCAATGTAGCTGTAAGTATTAGCTATTGATGGATGACTAGATTGAAGAGATTTCAGTTCAATTTTAAGTGCCTTCTCATAATATGAAAGTACCGTCAAACCATCGCCTAACATTCGACAGCCTTCTCCAATATTTTTGTAAGTCGTAGCCCGATTTGGATGATAAGGTGGTAGGGATTTCTGCTGAATTTCAAGTGTTTTTTGATAGTATTAAAGTGCACTAGGATAATCTCCTATCCCTTGGTATGCTACAGCCATGTCATGATAGATGGCTGGATAAATAACAAACTGCTTATCATTGTTCGCTGCCGAAATTTTCTCACGTTTTAAGTTGAATATTTCTAATGCTTTATTAAATTTATTCATGGTAATCATCAATTCAGTCATACGATACCATCCGTTCTTTTTTTATTTTCCTTTCGTATATGATTAGTTAATTGTTTTAATTGTTGATCATTATCACTAGTCAACGTCGGATTCACTTGCCATAAACGGTCTTTAATTTTTTTTATTTTACCAATTCGAAAGACAGTATGCATTGGAAAAAGAATTTCTTTTTCTGAATCGGAGTATTGACTGATATTGTCTAAAAAAGCAAATGATACTGTGGAAATCAATGAATCGATTTCAATTTGAAATAAAATTCCTATTAATTAAGAATTATCTCCAACACTTTCAGCAAAACTATATGAAACATCTTGATCAATGCTTGTTGATAAAAAATTATTAAAAGAAAGAAGACCACCTTCGCTTTTCTTAATCTTTTCAAAGTCATCATTAGACAATCCTTGACCTCGATAAATAATCATCTTTGAAGTTTTATGTGCTTCTGTATGCAATTGTTCGATTTGTCGATGAAGATCTTGAATGAAAAATCCCATCTTAATAATAACATCGATTTCTTGTGTTCTCAAAACTTTGTTCAGTATTGAATAAATAAACGGTTCTTTCGTATACCACCAAATAGGTGAATGATATTCATATAGTCGTTCAAAATCACGTATTTTATTCGACTGAGTATTATTATCAGTATAATGAGTGCAACAGAATTCGAGAAACTCTTTTTTTAGCTGCTTTATCATGTTTAATGTCGAGAATAATTTCTTTGAGAATTTGAGAATACATAAATGATTGATCGAGTTCATCGAGATTTGTTTAGAGAACTTGTAGGAACAACACTAAGTGATATCAAATTAATCTCATACTGACGAATATTTTTTCTGAGTACATTACAAATAGATTCAATTTTGTTAAATATTCCTTTCACATTTTTATAATCATCTATTCATGGTTGATGCTCTGTCGATTGACTACAAATAACATAGATTGAGTGTAGCTGAGCAACGTTTTCAATTAGAGATACAATTTGTTGACCAAGTGTATTTGAAACAATCATAAATACATTTTCATCTTTGATATCAGTAAGAAAATCAACACATTTGTCAACATCATTAAATATTTTGATTGAATTGACCACCTGTCGAAGGCTGGTAATGGAATTTCTTGTGCTTTCAGCAAATTCATTAATGTTTGAATCTAACCAAATAATAATAAAATTCTCGATTATGCGAGGTTGTATCAGTCACAATGCATTAGCTGTGCTTTCTATCATTTGATTGACATTTGTTGAAGACTAGAACAGTGCGTTTGCCATGTTCACAATGGTATTAATTAAGAAGAAAATTTGTATATATTATTGAAATGAAAATGTAATACAAAATTTTGATTTATCTATGAAAAAAAATCTATCAACTGAACATTAAATGTAAGGCCATTTTTTGCATCAATTTACTTATGAGTTCTTATTATAGTGTAGTTCTATCAATTTCTGTAAAAATTTCTTTTCTGTTAAACAAATTTTGTCAGAACACTTCTCGTTACTTCGGTCGTTTCTATTTACAAAGGTAATCAAAACAAAAAAGGAAAAAAAACAAATGTTGTATAACATATACTCAAAATAGTTTCTTTTTCTTTTCGTACGAGTTTGACAGCAGTTAAGAGTTGAAAAAAGCTGATGTTTATAACGTTATTGTCTTTTATAGAATATTTTTTATACAGATTAAAAAGATAAATTTTGCGTTTAACTTTGTCGAACAAAAATATTTTCTTTCTAGAACAAAAATGAAATAAGAACTTGACATAACGAACAAAGAGCAGAGAGAAAAATACTATACATTAGCCTAATACAATGTAAGTACAATATTCGAGTAATTGTTGTGTATAAAGATATAAAACAGCACTTCAGTCTAAAACTGTTCTGTTCGGTAACATAGAGAACTTTTTGTTTAACTGTGATTATTAATATGAACATGAATTGAAAGGTTTAGTTTAATTGCTTTTGTATGATATAATGCAGAATGTTCTCAGACAAACTATTTTTCTATACTTCATTGATTTTTTTCCAACTTCATCTTATTTGTTCTTGTAAATATTTACCATTTCTTCTCCTGACTACACAGATGAGTTTTTCTCAGGTAACAAAATATTAAGACCATTCAAATCTAATAGATGATATTTCTTTCTCATATAGACTTTGTTTCTTCTTTAATAATATTAAAAAAAAAAAGATTTTAACATATATGGTCATGCGAGAAAAGTATCAATATGGGGTGCGATGACAGAATCCAATGACATTTATCTCTTTTCAGCATGGAATTACCATTTCGGATATTATCGAACGAATGTATCATCCTTTCTTCGATGTAATTCAATTTTCTTCTGAATATTACACATCACAATAGAATGTCATGGCTTCTACTGGACTATATTCTTTCTGTTCTTTGCATAACAATAAAAACTTCCTTCATTGTCACATTTTTGCGCAAGATATTGCACAAGCTTTCGTTACATGCACAACTTTCGAACAGATTCTCTTTTCATCTTGCTTATTCCTCCATCGAGAAGTACAATAGTCCTCTGCGAACTGACAATAAAAATCTCGCTTTAACAGTAATATGCCATAAAGACAGGCGTCCTATATAGATAATTTTGTCAAAGCAGATACTTACTCAAATTTCGATAGAACGACAACAAATTCCAACTAAATATGAACGTGCTAAAGTACACATTAATAATATTGTTATACAATATGGGCTCAAGAAGAACAAATGCAAGAGGAAGACAGTTACAAGAGATAATCAATGAAGGTTATATTAATTGTATAGATGATGTTAGTACAACATTTGAAAAGAATGACTATGAAGAAAAACTTGACTGGATATTAGCCAGTCAACCACTTCTTTCATTAATATCAAACGTCGAAACACATCCAACAATCGGTACATTATGTGGTCATAAACCATTAACCTTCGATNAAATGAATAAAATGTGATTTAAATGACTCTCGTTTTTTTATTGGGGCAGTTTTAAATTCATTTATTTACAGACATTCATTTTTTGTTAGTTCTGTCTGATATATTAGAGACGTCACAAGTTTTTCTCGAAAGTTGTTCCATGGAGCATTTCTAGGAACAAGAACGACTACACTGAATATTTATCAGTCTACTTTCCTGATCATTCAACAAGAAACAGTAGAGTAGTTTCCAAACACTTGTTCACATGTCTCATTTTCTAATGGTTTTTCAATGAATCATTTTGCCGAAAACAAATGCTTCAATGTTCATCAACCAATGATGATACTACATTCAAAATCTTGAAGAGTACTATACCTGCTATCAGATTCGAAGTAAGTTCAAGTCTAGTACAGTGATCTACTGATGAAAACCATAATATCATTTTGACGAAATGATTACCTCCAAAAAATTGAACTAAATGAGACGTATCAACAAATGTTCAAAATACTTCTTCATTGTTTTTTGTTAAGTAACCGTGAATTGTTTTCTTCGAAGCTTATAATACCGAATTATGTCGATGATTACAGATTTAGATAATGTCAATGAGCATTTGATTGATAAATAAAAATGTCATCTTATGTTGATAGATGACTAAAATATACGACTTTAGTTTGTGAACCTTTTTATCAAAACTTTGAGTCAATGACCAAACTAAAACTATAGTGCATGCTTCTTGAATAGTCAGAGACTCAAAGATAGTCATATATTGTACTCGATTACTTCTAGACAATGTAGTGATATTTGCTTGGAATAAAATGAGTTTTTAAGAAAAAAAATTCCATATACAGTATCTCCTATCTATTGTCATCTTTTATTATTCTGTAATAAATGTTTCATGTATTGTCATTCAATAAAAACAACAAATCATTATTTTCTGTGTAGCACTACTATCATCACCATGTTTAACCGAAGAAGAAATGGAACTTTACAATACTACCATACAACGAAGTGAATGTTTATTGCATCATTCGTCAGCGTTAGCAGTCGGTGAGGCTTTTCTGTACTACGTTTCTCTTGTCATACTTAGCATATTTGTTCTGGAAATATCGGTTTCTTTCTATGCATTTGGATGGCGTCGTTATATAAGGCCACTCTTTTTAATCGATGCTGGCATTGTACTGGCTTCGTTGATCATGGAAATCTATTTTCATTTTGCTCATTTTCATCAGTCCAGTCAAGTAGCTGCTGCTTTTGTTATTTTGCGTCTATGGAAAATCGTTCGAGCTATTCATGCCATTGCTCATTCGATCTCACTTCGAAATCGATTGGTAGTTGAGAAAATTCAACAAGCACTTGACATACTGAAAGAAGAAAACCAGGAAACGAATGAGAAACTAGAAAGACACGAAATCAAGATTCAATATCTTATGGAATCATTAGAGACAGCTGGAACCCGGATCACACATGAGCAACTTGATAAATATGTGGAAGTTCGCCGAAAAGCTCAATAAGATGATGGCATTCTGATTTAATTAATCAATTTCTATAAAGAAAGTTCGGATGATTTTTTCAACGAAATAAAATTGTTCCATTTACTAATATATTGACAATATTATGAAGATTGGATTTCATCGAGGCACAATCACTACGTAGTAAATGATATATAATAACAGCATGAGTAAATCATGTATTTGTTTTCTTGTGTAAATTCTGATCGATTTGGTGTGGATGTCGAGGAAGAGAAGAAATACACCCATGTCCACACCGACACTTACACTCACACCCTTGTTTTTCTCAGTAGTAAGAGAAACACGATAGTTAAACTACCTGAATAGTATATAAACCATGTATCACAGTATAAAATTTTATTAAAACCCTTGAAAAATTCGTCAATTAGTTTAAAATTGAATGATATTTACAGAAAACAATTGATAAGAAAAGAAAACTAAATTTTTCTTTCTAACCAATCTCTTTTATTGACAAACATTCAAAACTTGTTTGAGATCGGGTCAGAATCATGCTTGATACTTGTTTCTTGCCATAAGAGGGGAAGGAAGAATTTTTGAAGTCAAGCGTGGGGCGATGGAGCAGCATGCAAACATGGACAACATTAATTAAAGACTGAAAGAAACGGATATGGAACACCGGTAGTAGAAGTGTAACTTGAAGTGACGAGAAAATAATGAAGAAAAAAAGGAATATAAAGATTTATTGGAGTTCCTGATATTAAAATGATTGCTTTAGTATCCATGTTGTCAATAAAACAGATACTTTTATTTTCTAATAATATGGAAAAATTCGACTTTCCTTTCTGAAAGTGTCACTCCTAATGCCAACCCCATGATTCCAGTTATGTAGCGAGAGTTTTTTCGTAGCTTAATTTAATAACCAATTCATCCTTTCATACCATGTTTTTCTATTGGGCAGTATTGCCTCGTAAACGGACAATACAGCTTTTTGTTGTTCCTCGTTGAAATTTTGGAATCTGTCACGCTAGCTTTATGAAAATCAGCAAATACTTTCGAAACACCAATAAAGGATGTAGGTGAGTGGTGTGTGAGTGCGAGTCTTGGCATGAGTATGGTGGTGTGAATCTGGGTGTGGATAGAGGTGTAACAAATCTTGAATACATTTGAGATTTGAGTTTAGATTTACATTTGAATTTTGTTTTTGAACATTGAATTTGGTTTGGAGTTAGCATTCAGAATTTTAGCTATAGTTTGAACCTAGTATTTGGTTTCAATCTAACATGATATCAACTTTGTATTTAAATTAGAATGAAGCCGAATTCGAATCTAAACCCAAATCGATACAAAGTCCAAACGAATTCATATCAATTTTGAAGGCTTGCGACTCTTGTCTCCCTTCTGATACTTTATCTTACAGACTCTCATTACATTTGGGCATTTAAGACCAAACTCAAATCAAAATCTGAACCCAATTCGAAATTAAGTCCAAATCTTTCTACACCAACTCCCTAGGCCTTGAATTTGTTGCACCCATAGGTCTGGGTGTGGGTGTCATAGAAGAAAGTTCACAACCACGCTCATACCCACCAAAACCCATGCCCTTTTTCTTTTCAGTTTTCTCTTAAAGTTCAATCTTGAGTTCAATTATCGCAATTCGCGGTTTGATCGTTTTTTGGGTAATTGCGAGGCAAAGTAGTCTGCCGAATATTTATAGATTGAATTGATAATTCAACAGCTTGCCGATATTCGTGATAACGTTGATGTAATGAAGCCTGTTCGTAAAGTATGGTGGCAGCATCGAGCGATCATGCCGATCCATTAATTTCGTGCATGGAAAGTGCTCGTTGAAAACAGTTGAATGCTTTCTCATCACCCTATTAATCATTCGTTGCAGATGAATCTACATACGCTACACCAAGACTGTGAAGAGTCTGAGCAGGTATCAACCGATACCACCGATCTTTGAACCGATATGCAGTAGCAATGTTACCCAATTGAATGCGCTGTTCACCATGAATTTCTGGCAAGCAGATTTTATAGATATCAACTGCGCTCATATAATAAACCAATACCTTATCGTACATTTCCAGATTGTCATAGATCAAGCCAATATTGTTAAAATTAATGTCAATATCTTAATTGTCATTCCGCAAGATTAACTATTTCATTTTTAGACCTCGCAAATGAAATTTGAGTGCACTTCTATACTTACCTTGATCATTATAGGTTCGACCGCGATATTGTCCATTCGGCCAATCATGTTGATCTTGAGCTAGTGCCTTGTTGAAAATTTCCAAAGTCTTATTCCACTGTCGCTTTTGCTGATAAAAAAGTCCGATATTATTGAATACAACCCAGTGCTTGACGCCATTTTGTCGATTTTTAGATAACAATTCAATGCTAGATTCACTTCATTCATTAGTCGATGAATATTACCATTGTCGACGATAATATTTCGTAATATCTGTTGACGTGGTGAATCGTTATGATCTTGAAGCTCGTAAGCACGATCCAGTTTGACTCGTGCATCCTTATATCTGCCTTGACATTGATCAATTCAAGCAAAACTATATAGGGTATGAACCTCATTTTCGTAATCAACTTCGAGCAAATCATCAAAATAATCTCGTGTTTGGTCATACCGTCCAACAATAGTGATAAATTCGCCCAGTTTTATCATTGGTGATAGATACTTCATGTGTTCACGATAGAATTCAATATATTCGGTACTACCAATATTACCACCTTTGCCCAAGCCAATCAGACGAACAATCCACGTTTGCTCAATATAGTAACATCCAAGACAATGAAGGTTGTCCCAATATCGAATAGAACTTCCTGCTCATCGATCATCTTACTCCAGTAGGAAATATCAGCGAACACAATTGTTCATAAATCACATGATATATCTGATTAAAAAAATGACAGAATGAATTTTGCCACGGCATCTTAATGTAATCACACCTATACCGAACGAATGACTTCGTGATGCATGCTATTCAATGATGTTTTAGTGCAATTTCTTGCCAGAGCCTGCATAGAATTTAACGACCTCACGATTACGAGTTGTGGAGAGATGATAAACAATTGATGGCAAGAAAAGTTCAAGTTCAAACATTTCTTTGTTTTTTCAGCGAGATTGGCACAGAAATCGATAATAAAGAATCGCAATGTATGCAATACTTCAATGTTCTCAGTACGCCAAGCTTTGTTAATACGCTTATATACGAATGTATCACTAGTCTACTAGCGAATCACATTTGACGCTGTATAAGTAGCATCGAACTGAGTAATATTCTGAAGTTCAGTTTTATTGTGACGATAATAATCGTAACATTGCTCTATCATAAGTTTTTTGGGTGCAATAATTTTGTCGACATCTATTCCCTCCTTCGGTGAATCAACAAGCATATCTTTGTATAAATGAAACCAGAAAAGGAAAGCCAAGGACTTGGATAGATTAAAAAAAGCTTTCTGCTTGTAATTATAGAGATTGAACAGTTCATTTTGTCTGCTAATGTCAATGATAGATTTTATGATTCCAACGAGAAGCTGCTGCTTGCTGTTTG